ATGCAACCCCCAGACTTCCACACGTGGAGACTCGGAGCTGCGGCCCCCAGCCTCCCTGAACTGCCAAGGCCGCACTCCGCGGGGCCTGCTCTATCTTCAGGCCTCCCCCCACAGCCACGGATGGCTGCCAGTACCGTCAGGTTCATACCCACCCGAGAAAAGCCTCTTCCCTCAAAATTCTCCAGAAACCTTGAGACTCAGACTGATCTAGCAGGCTGAGGAGCCCTGGCACCAGGAGTGCTGGCCAGGGAGACCCTCTCTCGGGCTCAGACCTGGGCCCTGCTGACTCTGGGCTGGGCGCCTCACCTGGCCCCAGCGTGTGTGAGGCTGCCTCTCCAAGAAAACGGGCTCTGGCTGGCAGAGGGGGCAAGTGTCACTGTTACAGGGCAGTGAGAGGGGCAACTCTGAACCCCCAAACCTGCCTGCTGTAAATAGGTCCTGCCATGCACCGCACCAAGACAAGACATATAAGACTTTAATGAAAAGGGACTTTAATACACTGAGTGAGCAACACGGAACACAATCAAACACCTGAAGTCACCCATCCCCTCGTGGGCAAACGTCCACCCAACAGGGATCGGCCCAAAGCAAGGCCCGAAAGCCGCCACAAGCCTAAAGCACCTTCTGGCTGGAACCATGGAAAAGGGTCAGACATGGCCAGACAAGTCTGGGAGGAAAAGAGCAACATCAAAATCAATATAAACACTGCCATGGTCACCTCCCACGGGGCTCACCCACGTCGCTTTCACACAGAGGAGGGTGGGCTCTGCACCTGACACGACTGGCATCTTCTCGAGCACGTCAGGTGACCCCAGAGACACCGGAGGCCCGTGAGGCCCTGTGCAAGGCCCTCGTGAGGGGGGCTCCGTGGGTTCCCGCATCAGCAGGGCCGAGGGGAGGAGGGCTCGGACACAGGCTGCAAAGGCCCCTCCTCCCCCCGGAGAAGAAGAAGCAGTTGGTTGTCTGGCCACGCAGAGTGGCCCCGGGATACTGGCCAGGGCTGATGGAGGGACTCACGAGCGCCCTTGCTCCTCGAGGCTGGCACAGCTCAGCTTTCCTACACCGTGGCCTTCAGGGCCCTGCCTCTCCATCCCGCCCTGCCAGCCCCAGCACTGCCTGCGCCAAGCTCTCCCTCTGTCCCTCATCCTGGGGTCCCCGCACTTGGGGTCGGGCTCCTGCTGCCCCTTCCAGCTGTGTGTGTGGGGGGGTGAAGGTATGAGGCGTCTTCTCCTGCTCTTAATAAGCTGCTGGTGAGGCGGCGGGCAGGCCTCGGGCCCGCTTGCTGGCAGTTCTCTCCAGCCTGCATGGTTTTCAGCGCTTCTTGTTTCCAAGGTTGAGCACTGATCTCCTACCCCCAGTCCTGACCCAGTTTCTACAGGTTTGCAAATGTAGCTGGGGGCTCCAGGCCCCCGCAAGATCCCTGTCCAGTTTCGCCTGCACCATCGCCCACCTGGCTACGCCCTGCCCCAGTGGCTGATGGCAGGTCCCTCCCCAGGAACATCTCCATTCCTGCAACATTTCCCTATCCACGTACAACTGAGTAGACGAGTGAATGAATTCAAAGTCAACCTAGTCTCAGACCACTGAGGGAGGACCGTGTGAGGTCCGGCATGAAGGTCCTGGAGCCCATCCTAGGGCCGCACCCAGCTGTGCAAACTCAGGTCTGCGTTTCTTCTCTGCCTCTCAGATCCCTCATCCGCACCTCAGGCCAACGGACGCACCCAGCCCTGGCTCGTGAGATGGAGCCAAGGGCAGGTCGCAGGCCCAGACACCAGGCCCAGCGAGCCTGTTTGCTGTCCCGGGCACGAGGCTCTGCATCTTCGTGCCTGTGCTCAGACCTGATTTCCTCGGGTCCTACCTAATCTTTCCTCACACATTGGACTCAGCTAACTCAGCCACTGCAGAATAATTTCTTATCAGAGACAGCGCAGGGAGAGAGAACAAAGGCTAAGATGCTGAGGGCTGGACGCAGTGGCGGGGGTTGAGGGCACATTCTAGTCTGAGGAAAGAAGATATGCAGAAAATGCTCCTGTGCCACGGGCTAAATCACACCTCTTGAATGAATAAATGAATGAACCAATTAAAACGTGACAACAGCTAAGTGGGTCACAGCCCCCCCATCATGTCCTTATGAGCTTTCATGTTGGAAAAATGACTGCAGGGTCCCCCTTAAAAATAAGAGCTGATAGTGGTGGCTGAGCTCACCAGGAAATAATTGTGTGTTTCACGGAGGTCTCCTGTCTTCCCCTTTATTTAAAGCACCTAGGAGATTTGGCAGACAATTAAAATCCAGTAAGATGAGAAGGAAGAAGAGAATCAACCCCCCACCCAGTTTCACCCTCTGGGGACCCAGCAGGGGTGGGGACAAACTAGAGCTCAAAACACCGCAAAATATGCAGTGTCATAACAGACACCATCACACCAGCCTCTGCTGCAAAAAGCCCAGCTGAGCAAAACTTCTGTATTCCGCAAGTCATGCGTGCACAGCACTTTCCAGCTTGCAAGCCATTTCCACACTGTGCTTCAGAAAATCCCATATGCCCAGCAGGATAAGAGGACTGGTATGCAGAGGGGCAATGGGCTGCTGAAGGGTACTGAAGGGGTGAGGCTGGAGCAGACTCGGGGATCCCTGTCCTCCCCAGAACAAACCTAGGTCCCCAGGGGAGACTCTGGCCTGAGATCTGGTTTAGGAGATGACACCCTAGAGAAAGAATGTAGCCTGGTAAAGGTTAGCAGGACTACAGCCTCCATTTTTGCCCTTGGTAGAGGTGGAGATTGAGACATTTGGAAAGCATCAAAGAAAGAGGAGCATTTCAGGAAACAGAGTGTGTGATGTGGACCAAAAAAAGAAAATTCTACATTTTTTTTTCTGTTGGAGAAAATGCCTACCTCTGCCTGCCAGAGCAACCTCAGGAGATTGGCGTGAACAGAAAGGTGGCGTGTTTGCCATGAAGAACCCTGGGGCAAGAAACAAAGGAAACCTAGGAATTCAGAGTGAGCCTGTCGTGCTTGAGAGTGACAGAAAGGAGCCGCGAGAGATAGTGGCCTGGCTGTGCCCTCACTTCCGTAGGGTACCTTTAGGATAAGAGATGAAATAACCCGTGGTCCTTCCATCTTCCCAAACACAGACAGCTCGGCTTGAATTAGCTCTGTAGACTCGAGGGATTACTTTGAACTTATGAACCATGTTCCTTTGTTATAAATTGACCAAGTTTGTTAGAAACTGACCTGTCAGTCAACTAAGAATGTTAGACATTAACTAAATGCCTCTGTCTTTTGTTAAGAAAAAAGAATTATATATTCTGTGTCTGTCGCTTACTTGAAAAGCTAAGGTCAAAAATTGGAGGGGAGGAGAGACCAGTCACTCAGAGAACTCTGACATTGTCTCCCAGACCCAGGTCCTCAGTTTGGCTCTGACTAAACTCTCAACACATTTTTCTTTTACTAGACTTTGAGTTTACGTCACAGTACTGATTATTTCAGCTGACAGTGGAAGCGGCTGATGTGCCAAGAGAACATTCCAGTCAATCCAGGATCAAACTTCCCCTGTTTCTCCAAGAACTTCTCCGCTTAGATCAACCTTCCTTTAGAAGAAGTCAAATTATACCCTACTTTTATACAAGCACATGTAGGATGTAAACAATAACTCTATGTCTTTGCGTGATGGACTCTCGACTTTATCACCTGTTACCTGGCAAATGACTTTCAGCCTATCATGTAAGCTGTTGAGCCTCAGCTTTCTCTTCTACGAAATGGAACTAAAACCACCCACCTCTGAGATTTTTGCAAAGATTAAATAATCCACTCACACATGTCTGACTTGTAGTAATGCCATCACGACTCTCATCATCATTTATTTGTTTCCTTTTGCTGCTGTCCAAACTATGCACATTTAATGCCTTGAAACAATACAAATTACACTCTTACAGAGCTGGAGGTGGGAGTGTGGAGTCTCAGAAACCAAAATCTAGGTGTCAACAGGTCTGCCTTCCTTCTAGACTAGGAATCACTTTCTGGTCTTTCCCAGCTCCGAGAGGTGAAGAGGAGGTCTTCATTGCTTGGGCTGTAGCCCCACGTTTGTCTGTGAAGCCCAGGGTATGATGTCCTCTGGCCTGCAGAGTCTGGCCTTCTGCAGTCCTCTTCTTGGGACCCTTGGGATTGCACTGGGCCCACCAGCACATTGTCATCTTAAGACCTTTGATTTAATTGCACCAGCAAGTTCCCTCTTGCCACAGGGTAAGGTATGTACAAAATGTAGGGATTATACGTCAGACATCTTGGGGAGGGTCATTTGTCTACCATGGTATTCATACTTTCCTCAACACTAGCTCGTTTATCTCACTTGACCCTTCCTAAGTACCATAAGTAGACAATACTTTAGCTCCCTTTGGAAACCGAGGCACTGAGGAGTTACCCCGCGGCAACAGTAATCGGTGAAGAAGGATTCCAGCCGAAGAAGTTGGTTTCCGACATAATCTGACGAGCTGAGATTCTGGCATTGAGGCACAAAGGAAGCAGTGTATTAATGTCAGCTATTTATTGTTGTTTCTACCAAGATGAACACAACCCTTCTCTCATCTAACTCTTGCGAAAACTAGATGAACGTGTCAGAAGCACCAGAAACTGCCTAGCACAGAGCAGGTCCTCAAACGGCATAGATCTTCCCAGGCTTACTAAACACGTCACTACGAAGACGTCCACTTCCACGCCTCCTCCCCAACATGGCGCCATCGCCACTCCCCACTCAAGATGGCGTCCACGGCGGCACGGCATAATATCTCCCTTCTCAAGATGGCGCCAACACCAACCGTGGCTACCTCCCGCCCTCGTCAAGATGGCCATGGCAGTTAGTTTTAAGTTGGGTAATCTCTGACCTTCTTAAAATGGTGGCTGCAGCACGCCACCACATCGTGACCTTCTCAAGATGACGCCAACGCCGCAAATTTAGCGTCGCTATCTTAACACGCATTTCCGGGGGCGCCGGAAGTGAGTCTTAGGGGCTTGTGGGAACCGAGGAAGGCTCCGCTCTGGGCCGAGACACTTTGACGCGACCATGGATCGGCGGAAAAAGCCGTTGGACGTGACGGCCTCCTCGGTGAGTGCGGGTATTTTTAGGGGGGTGCGGCTTCCGCATCCTCCCTGCCTTCCCGAGCCGGGATCCCGAGCCTGTGTCTTCCCTGGGGCGCCCCGACCTGGCCTCCCAGAAACAGAAACCCGGCCCAGCTCTCTCTCCTCAAACGGGGACCGGGCCCGCTCTCCTAGTCATCGGACGCTGGACTTGGCTCTTTAACTGGGACAGGCGCCGGACCAGACGTACCCCCACAGAACCGGGCGCCATAACCGTCTGGGAGCGCCCCTGGCACTCGTCAGCCACAGCCGGCCGGGCCTCCCTGGCAACCCTGTTCTCCCCTAATGTCGGGGAGGAACCGCGGCTGCTTCGTCTGCAGACGCGTTTCCCGTCCTGGTTTCCCCTCCAGCCCAGCGACCAGCAGGGGCCTCTCCGAACATTGGATAGTGAGACCTGTTGCCCAGGATTCGACAGTGCCAAGTGTCTCCCACCGGAAAAGCAACATTAGTGCACCCACAGGATCCAGAAAGCTACATTTAAGTTCTCTTAGTCTGACAGGTCAGAAGGAGCAGTGGCATTTCAGAGGTGCCATCTGGCAATTCTAATTTTCTGAGCATCTTTCTTGTCAAATGCAAAAGTAGTTGTAGGGTAGGAAAATGTGTGGCTAGAAAATCGACGTGGTTAAGAAGGCTTCGAAGGGAAGATGAAAGTCTGAAAATGTTTGGAAGATTAGCACTGTCCTTTGCATTAACATTATTTTAATAATGTTAACATTTTAATAAGATTTCCTCCAGAACAGAAATTACTGAGTCAGTCGATTGGGTTTCCCTGAAAGCCAGTCTGTGGCGCTGGGTTTACACGTACGTGATTTGTAAACGACCCAGTATATAAGCAACTGTATCCAGACCCTGAAAGGGAAAGTCAGCAGGTCCTTTCAGGCGGAGGAAGCAAAGGGGGCTCAGAGCTGCGAGGTGGGCACAGGTCTCCACCCAGTGCCTTGTTTGCTTTGCCTTGGCCCTTCCCTGAATGCTGTGGTTCAGCTAAACATAGCTTGTAAAACAATAAAACGTGGCAACTCAGTCCACTTTATTTCTGGCTCTTGAAATGTGGCCTATTTTTGAGACTTAGCTCAGAGCTGCTTCTCATCATTCTAATAGTAGAAAATGCTCCATTAGCAGGTCTTTTATGCTGCTTTCTTCCACTGTTAAAGACATTTACTGCATCTTACTTGTAGTGTGTTACCTGTCTTCCTAGATTGCATTCAGATTGGTTTTGGAGGCAGGAGTATGTTTACTTTAGTTTGTATCCAACTCTTCAGTGTTAAGCACCAGGCACACACTGTGGGACCGCACACGTTTTGCTATCGAAATAATGAGCTTTGTGATGACTAAATGAAATTACAGTTTGAAAAAGCCACGTTCTGTGGCTGTCAGAGAAGGCGCTTATGGGTGTTAGTTGACGCTGACACCGAAAGAGTCAGGCTTTATTCACTTTGCTGTGTTCCCCTCCCCTGCCCAGAGGAAAGCCTTTGTGTGTAACGTAAAAATACATTTTCAGCATAGTTGCAATGAAATATGATGTGATAGTGGAGTCTGTGTTTAAATATTTAATTTTTTCCATTGTTAGGAATTTGAAATTTTCTTTAAGAATTGCAATAACAAAAATACAGTCATTCATCAGAATTAGCTAAATGCTTCTGTTTGCTTATTGGTTTTATTTTAGTTGGTAGACCTTAAGGCGGAACTCTACCGAAAACAAGAAGAATTCAAACAAGAAAAGCTTCTGAAAGATTCTGGAGTTTTGGGAAAACCAAAAACAACTAATAAGGTAAAACTGATATCTAATTATCTCCATTGATTCCAGCCATGGTAGAATTATACAACATCTAGGGTTTTTGATAGTGTCTGAAGTGTATACTAAGTAGTAAGGAAAAAAGCCCCTGTCTTGTATTTGAACATCTGCATGAAGTGATTTAAATATTAAAATAGAATTAATGAAATTACTTACAAGCACATTATAATGTTCTGATTCCTTAACACTACTTTTGGAGTAGTACATGCTATTATTAAGTGGTTTATTCCCCTTCTTTTGGAGAGCATCTGATTATGTAGGCATTAAAAATCCAAATGTAAACAATTGATGCTATGGCAAGATAGCAGGAAATATTCAAGGTCATTGAGAATAGTGACTGGTTTTCCAATTTTACATGTAGTCGTGTCTACTGTTTTTTTTTTTTTAAAGATTTACTTATTTAAGCATACAAGAGCTGGGATGTAGGCCAGAGGTACGGAGAGGTGAGAGGATTCACCAGAACAGAGTGGGGAGCAGAACAGGCGGATTGACTGAAACACATTGCTGAGGGGAGCAGCAGGGAAACAGGAGAGGTCTGCTGTGCCACGTGGGTCATCTCACTGGCGGGATCAAACTCGTGCTACAGTGGCTGCTGATCACTTCATAGTGCTGAGATTTGACCCCTTGTGCTACCAAGAGCCCCAGTATCTAGTATTTATATTATTAATTCTGTGCAATGTGAATGTAAAATACAGATCTCATTTGAGTCTTTAGGCTGTCATTTTTCAGGAGGAAAAATAACAGAGAAGTAACCATGTAGTCGTGTAAAGAAATTCTTGAGGTAATTCAGGCTTTCAGCTGCAGCTCTGCTGTGCCCAGTCTGCCTGCAGGGTGCAGGGTGACGCTTACTGACCCCCCTTGACTCCTGAGAGCTCCTTTTTTTCTTCTGATGTACGAGAATTTTTGCAGTCATTGGATGGATTGTTTCATCTCTTTAAATTATTCTTCAGAAACCAAGTATTTGGAACAAGCAGAATGCAGGGGTTTCAAGCCGAGCTGAAAAAGATGCAGAGCAGAAGATTGAAGAACAGAAGACTTTGGACAAAGCAAGGTAAAGTTAAGCTCTGAAAATGTTACTGCCTTGGAGGCTGCCCATGTAAAGAGATGACGGTTCAATTCTTACTCTTTGATTTTCAATTTTAATTTTTGTCACATGTACTTCTAAGAAGAAAAAACAAGCTCAGTTTAAGTGATGAGCCCAAGCCCCATACCACGCGTTTGTTAGGGAGTAGGATGATGACAAGTGTTTCAGAAGTTCCCTCAGCTCGGTGGTTCTGGGCTGCAGGGTGCGTGCCATTAGCATTCAGAAACTGGCTTTTCATCCCAACTTCTTCTTTTGAAAAACTTAAAACCAGTAGAATAATCGAAAGAAGAGTACAGTGACGTTCTAATGTCCTTTACCTAAACTTGCCAATTAACTTCACATTTCTTTTGCTTTCTCTTTCCCTCTTTCCCGCCCTTTCATCCTCTCCCTCTTCCCTTTTTTTCCTTCTTCTCCTCCCCTCCTCCGCCTCTCTCCCTTGCTGCTCTCACATGTAGAGAAACCCTGCTATACGTCAGGATACTTCAGATGTTTTAGGTTGTGTCTTCTTGGTACAAGGATGTTGTCTTAGTGACCACAGTGCTGCTGTCATACCATGACATTTCACATTGATAAAACATCATTACCTAGTATGTGCTCCCTCTTCTGGGCTTACCGCTTAGTCTAGTACAATTGAGACCTTTATAGTTTTGTGTTTTTTTTTTTAAAGATTTATTTATGCATACAGAACTGGGGTACAAGCAGAGGTGCAGGGGCGGTGAGAGGCTTCACCAGAGACAGAGTGGGGAGCAGAACAGGCAGTTATATGAACTACACTGCGGAGGGGAGCAGCGGGTGGTCAGGAGAGGTCTGCCGCACCATGTGGTTACCTCCGGGGCCGGGGATTGAACTCCTGTGGAAGCGGCTTTAGCTTCTTAGTGCTGTGCTTTAACCCACTGCGCCACCAGGGAGGGCCCCTTTATAGTTTTTTAAAAATCAAACCCAATCCTCAGCAGTTACAGATTACACATTTAGTTGTTATATTCTGTTAGTCTCTTTTAATCTAGAAAATTCCTTTTTTTTTTTTTTTTTTTTGTTGTTTTTGTTGTTACCTGTTGGCACTTTTGAAGAGTCCAGGCCAATTGTTTCTACAACGTCCCACAATCTGGTTAGAGTCACAGTAGCTGTTTGGGTGAGGATGCGCGACAGGTGATGGTTTGCTCCTTCCCAGGGGTCACGTCAGCATTCCCATCTGTTCAGATCCTTTTGGGGATACTTAGTTTCATCACTTGATTGTCACTTGCTACTGGTCAGTTTACATTGAGGATTTCAAAGTGATTTTTTCTAACTCTCTCACTGCTTCATCTGATTTGCTAGCTGGCATTCTCCCGAACAGAATGCAGTATCACCCTGGACTCAGCGAGAAGCCAAGTTAATGCCCGTTTTGGCTACCTCGTATATTCTTGGGTACATTGCGACATTAAAGCTCTGCAGTTGTAAACCGTGGTTTCAAGCTAAGCGTGCTCGGCTCGGTTGGGCCTGAAAACAAAAGGCAGCATATTTGCCCAACTGGGGGATTTTCTTAGCATTTCACCTTTCCCCATTACGCACAAGACTTTACTTAATGTTCAGCTGGAGACATCTTTCTCACTACTGGACATGTTCTCAGAATTTTGTCATCATTGAAAGGGCCCATAATCTTTTGTTATTTATTTCTTACTCTGGTCCTTTGCTGTGATTTTTCTTTCCAATAACTTTTTACAAAAGCTTTGGTTTCAGTGTGGTTTGTAAACTCCTAGAGAACCAGGCTGTCCCTAGGTGCGCTCTGCTTGGCACAGAAGGACAGTCTTTAGGGCGTAGATGATGGCGCTGACATTGACATGTCACCTGGGGAGTCACGAGCACACTAGGAGGAAGTGCGTGGCTCATCTGTTACGCAGTGGGAGCTGAGGCCAAGGCACTTGCCCCAGAGCACACCGCCCGGGAGCAAGACCTTTGCTGCTTCAGATGCTGCCACGATGAAATGTCCCCTTTGAGGAAGTGTGACCCTCACAAGGGAAAGCTCAGGTGACCTCTTGGGGCTCTTCATCCTCATTAATTATTTCCAGAATAAAGAATTGTCAGTCGTCTTGCCTGGACTCAGTAAACCCATGACGTCACTAGCATTTGTGTGAGCAGAGAAGCTCTATCACAGAAACACCAGTGCTGCTGTCTTTGTTTTTATTAGCTCTGTGTCATGAGTAAGTCATGTTCTGTATAAAACCTGTGTACCTTTAACAGGTTTATAAAAGACTGGACTCTAGCTCCCTTGGAGAAGCCCAATAAGCCGTGAAGCCTGTGTCTAAAACTTCAAAGAGTTTGCACGGAATGTGGGTTTCCTTTAGGAAGGTTGCAAATAGAAAATGTTTTGGTTTAGACACCTTTTTACTTTTGGTACTTAATTAAAGGTGCACTTAGCCTCTAAATTAAGTTGGAATCTTAGTTCATTTGCTTAGTCTTCCATCAGCTGGTGACTGAGCGCCTGCTGTGCCGTGGTCTGGGACTGGCATGCAGTCACGAGACGGTGAGACAGCCGGCGCGTGTGTGTGCCGCCCGGGGTGTGGCGCTTGTAGCCAGCTACTAGCCTCATCAGGCTAGGGCAGTTCCAAGACCTTTTCATTACTTGTCTTGTTTTTGTTTCCTAGGGAGAAATTGGAAGAAAAAGCCAAATTGTACGAGAAAATGACAAAAGGAGACTTTATAGGTAAATAACAGTTGTTTATGCTTCTTAATGTTCTGTAATTCTTACCCTATGCTATTTCATTATTTACTAGCTTTTTAAAAAAAATAAAATTGATGATGTTCTTTAATGCTGAAGTGGCATTGTACTGTAGCATTATATGAAGTTCCAGGTGCTTATCACTAAAAATCAACATCTGTGTATGCTACAGTCAGTTTACCACGGAATGTCCAATTCTGTCCTTCACCATATGGTTCATCCTTTTTACCTAGTTTACTCATTACTTTGTAAGACTCAAATTGAAAACTTCTTCATCACCACAGAGACAGCAATGATTTTCCGATTTCCAAGTAGGTGCTGGGCCACATGTTAGGGTCTCTGAGAGAGCAGGTAAGACCGTGTCAGCCAGTCTCTGCCTCTGCTCTCAGGGGGATGTCGTCAGTGCAGGAAATGGCACCGAACAAAGTAGAGGTGGGAAGCAAGGTGTAAATGGGTCCCGAGCAGCCTGTAGCTGTGTTAAAAAGCCTGAACTGGAGAAACCCTGGTTCTCTCCAGGCGCTGGAATAGTTTCCTTTCCCCATTTCAGCTCTCCTTTTCTTTAATGTGCTTGTGATTGCATTGAAGAAAACAATAGCAATAAACTCTTCTTCCCTCATACCCAGAAAAAGAAACCCCAGCCTATAGTGTAACAGCTAGCGAGATTTTACATGGCAGTGCACAATTCACTGCCACAGAGCAGGGAGAGCGAACGCCTGCAGAGGGGAGAGGTGCACTCTGCTCGGGCCTTACAGGCTTTGGGACGATGGGGAAGCTTCCACCGGAGAGAGCAGGTCAGCAGAGGGAAGAGTAGGTGGAGTAGGGGGATTCACATGAGGGGGCCTTCCGCCTCGGAAAGGGGCAGCAGAGAGAGGCCTGACAGAGCCCTGGTCGCTGCCAGCCAGCGAAGCTCTGCCTGCCAGACGGGGGGCGTGATCCCTGTGTGATCCCAGCACAAGAAGGTCAGGCAAAGCTGAGGCCACAGGGAGAGGCCTTGTCTTCCTGCGTCAGCAGCGTCCTCAGCTAGATGGCCATCAGACCGAGTCTGTTGGAACTCGGCGCCATCTTCGTGCCATTTTGTGGCCTTTTTAAATGTTTCATTAAAATCTTTTCCTTTTGACTCAGACTTTACTAATATTATTAACAAGGAAATCAGGTCAAAGAAGAGTGCCTGTGAACTTGGTTCTGCCCAAGCAGGCGGCCAACCTCGTGGTGGGTGTGTGGATTTGGAGGCTGGGACGAGTTGAGTTCTGGAGCCTCGGTTAGCCCCCACTGCACCGTAACAGTTACCTGGCTAAATGACATGGAAAGTCCTGGATTGCTGAGGCCCTGGCACTGTGCTTTGCCTGAAAATGTGTCCCCTGGGTTGAAAAGAACTCAGATGGTTTTTTCACGTACATTATAACCCATCAGGCACCCTACCACCACAGTGTAACTGGGGTTACACGAGACAGCCCCCCTGACTGGAGAGGTGTGTTGCCAGTGCCGGTGAAGGTGTCTGTGGTCAGATGACCCGAGATGCGTGGTTCTGTCTCTGTGATGGCTACATGTCTCTGGAAGTCAGTGTGCTACCTTAAAATCACATTCTCAGTCAGTGCTGCTCTCCGGCCACAGCCTGCTGAAGCTCAGGCATTTCAGACACTTTGCATGGTGTGTGTGTCCAGTAGCCTGTTTCCAGCTGTCAGGCCCCTGTTGGCTGTGTGTGAAGAAGCATCAACTAGTGAGCTGTCAAGAGCCTGCGGAGTCCTTGACAGGAATGTGACTACTTCGTATCCATTTGTGTTTTTCTTCTTTGATGTCAAGAATCTGAAGGGTGATTTTTATGTCCTAGATGAAGAAGTGGAGGATATGTATCTTGTGGATTTCACACAGAAGATCATAGACAGGCACAAAGAGGCAGCATTTAATGCCTCTAGAAGAGCGGGACAAAGAGATGATGATGAAGACGATATTTCTGAAAAAGATATTCCTCCTCCCCAGGACCCCAGTGAAGAATGGTGGGTAAATCATACAATTTAATCATTGGGAGCATCGACAGATTCGTGTTTACTTTTGAGAGATTTTGTTATCAAACTTTTCTCTTTCTTTTTCCCCACTTTTCTTCTTTTGACCCTCCATTTGAAGTAACACTGGGTTTGTAGATGTAGAAACAGTAGTTCAGACGAAGAAATAGCTGCTTACAAAGACAGGTCCTGCCATGTGTCAGGCACCGTGCCAGGCACAGGCGGCATTGGGAGGCCCCTTCACACTCTGAGACTGTTGTTCCGGGAGAAGCCTGTTTCTCTGACACTGGGCTGCTCCCTCACCTGTGTCTGTTCACACTGCGTGGAGAGGCTGCTGTCTGGGCGTGCCCTCTGTGCCCGGCAGGGCTGGCCCGCAGCTTACTAGGGCTGTGTCTTTGCTGGCAGCATGGCGTAGCCGCTGCGCCTCAAACCTCGCAGCCCCGTCTCCACCGTTCCCTCTCAGCATCATCTGGAATATGGCCCTGCCCACACGGAGGCCGGGTGGTGGTGCCTAGCTCCATGGTTTCCCTTACGCTCCCTTCAGGAAGTAAGAGATCTAGATTCCCCCAACAGTCTGCTGTTTCTGGGTATAAACAGATTTTATAAGCCTTTCTTGAAATTATTGTGCATTTTACCTGCATGTAGGTAAATGCTAGAGAAAACCAAACTAGTCTTTTTGTTACTAAGAAACCACTGTGTGGTAGCAGAGAGACTAGAATGAAAATGACACTGTAATGATTTTCTCTGCCTAAGACATTTTATTGTTAGAGGTGACACGAGCCTCCTGCCCGTTTCCCCTTCTCGGCTCGGATACCCTCATCATGGAGGTTGCTAGGAACTGCTTGGATTGTTTGCGGCTTTGACCGCTCTTTGTCACCCAGTGCCCCGGTGGGCAGGAGTCCTTTATGAGCTGAAGGAACAGACCCCACTGTGAGGACCACAGACCTACCTCCTCTTGGTCCTGAGGGGAGCTACCATGGTCCAGAAACAGCTTTGCGTTCGGATAGAACAGGCATCTTCCTACCCGCACAGAAAAGCCTTAGCATGGCATGGGTTTCTGACTGCACGCCTGCTGCGAGCCCCCGAAAGAGCAGCACATCCGTGGCCATCTTCATCCATGCTTTCCCTCCCCGTTGTGAGTCTGCCTGATTCTCCCTGACCTGAACTCGTAGCGCTTAAAGACACTTGCTGCTTCTTTGGGCCTTAGCGTTTTCTTATCGTTGACATGGAACTGTCTCATTACCAGAGAGAGATCCGAGACAGACTTCTCATGCCCTTCCTTCCTGCCCGAGGCTGCCAGGAGGTGTTGGTGGGCATGAGCCGCCACTGGCCAGAGCCCCTGCGGGTGGCCTGACTCCGAGTCCTGCTGCGGCACTCCTGGACCTGGGGGATCGTGTCCCTGAGGGTTTCTCAGCTCCCACATGACCCCCATGTCTTGGGGTCCTTCTCCAGCCCATGATTGCTTTTCACAGCAAGAACCCTCATCTCCTTCGGTAGGCGTAATGTCTTTTGTCCCTTATTAACGCCTGTGTGACTACAGGCCATTTGTCAGTGAGTTGAAGAGTTTGGAGGGCAATGGAACGTGTCACTGCTACCATATGGTGAAGGAGGAAGCCTTGCGAGCAGTTCTGACATCCTTTCATTCTGAAATTAAGCTCCAGAATTGTGCTGCTTGTAAAATCCTTTCAGCAGTTAAATTCCAGGTGGTGGAAAGTCTTTCTGCAGAAATACTGTAAATAATTCACAGACCATCTGGCTCGATGCTTTTCTTTCTCTAGCATCTTAAAAAAAAATAAAGATGAAGGGGAAGAAGGGAATTGCTTTCTACAGTTGGAGGTTGTGTTTCTTAAGGCAATCATAAGGACTATAGCTGTGGATTCCCAAGCACCCAGTTTTTAAATTATGGGCTAACAGTTGGGATCAGTATGTGAAAGGTATCGCTAGCAAAAGCAAAGCTGCATGCATGGTTATCTGCTCCTTTCTGTGTGTGTAGCTAAAAGTTGTGAGAGTCCCTGCCCGTAACTTTAAAAAAATCCGTTGCAAAATACAGATGAAATCTTTTCCATGAAAGTCTGTCCCTCTTGTGGGAAGTCACGGCGTTTCCCGGCGTTTCCCATTGCTCTGCTGTCAGCCTGACTCCCTGGCGCAGAGCTGTCACGCTGGAGCAGATGCGAGGGAAGAGCAGGAAGGGTAACAGGTAACAGGTAGGCACTGTTGAGGAACAGGACGTGCATTGCATGGCTCTCTCCTTTAAATAGCCCCCCAAATACTTGATTTATATTAAGAAATCTGTAATTCATTAGAAAGCGCTGAGCCATTCAGAAGAAATAAAGAATAAAATGTCAGATTTGGGAGACAGGAAGTAGCAAGTCGGGAGTCTGGTGCGGAGCAGTCACTACAGTGCTGACGGTGTGTGGAACTGTGAGTCAGAGTACGCCAGCGTCTGTACAGAGGATTTATCTTGGAAGTTGGAGCACATGACTAGCTATTGTCTGCAGTTTTTATTTAGTTTTTGATGTTTGTTTATTTTTATATGGACAAATTAGGGCACAGGCCAGAGGTGCGGCGGGGAGGGGCTTCACCAGAGACAGCGTGGGGAGCAGAGCAGGCAGGTGTACCGAAATCCACTGCTGAGGGAGCAGCTGGGAGACAGGCGAGGTCTGCTGCGCCGGTGGGTCACTCCCTGGCCAGCTGGGGATCGAACTCAGGCTGTAGCACTGAGACTTACGCCCTAGGCTGCCAGGGAGGCCTGATTTTGTGTAGTTTTTAGAACTAAGGTTAATAAAAGGCACAATGAGCTTCTTGTATGCTTTTAACCTTAAAAAGCAGGCCCTGACCAGTGGTAGCTGCTGCGTGGCGTGTGGGTTTCCTGACAGGGAAGCCTGTGTCCTCTGTCTCCTGGGCACTAGCCCTCTCCAGAGCTGTATGACACGTGAACACATCTTTTCTCTTGTATTTCAGGGTGGATTACGTGGATTCTCTAGGGCGGTCCCGCCGCTGCATGAGAAAGGATTTGCCACATCTGCTGGAGATGGATAAAAATCTTCAGGGAAGGCTGTAAGTGTGGGACAATGCAGGCCTGAAATGTAGGCACAGCTCGTCTGCTGGGGGAGGCTATTTGTAATTACCTTGGTTCTAAAAAGGAAACTTTTCATTTAATGTATAAGAAAACTAGTGTTTAACATTCATGTTACTCCATGCTCAGGGAGCAGCCTGAACGTTTGATCATCCATGTTGCTAGCAGCTACCAGGTCAGAGCTGTGTCTTTACTGGGAAGGAGATTTAGTTATGAATATCAAATATATAACAAAACCACCAAATAAATGCCTGTGGAGAAAGGTGTTGAAGATCATACATTTGTTATACACATGCAGGTGGGAACAGGAGGGAATTAGGGTCAAATTTTTATGTGTAGGTGTTTTTGCATTTTCAGAGCTAGGTTAGTTTTTCTGTGTGAGCTAAGCCAACCTAGGAGCTAACTGGCGGAAACATCTCAAGGAATGAAATTACTCTCACAAAGGTTGCTTTTGAGTGGGCAGTTTGGGAGAACTTTGTCCAGGTTCTCCAGGTATAGGCATGCGCAGACGGCCCTGGCCTGGCACAGAGGCCCTCAGCTCCAGGATTCGAGGTGCTGTCAGGCTGCAGGCCATCAGGTGCCTGCTTGGGAGCCCTGGGTCCCCCACCATCTATTAACCCAGGACAGGGTGGGGAGGAAAATGGCTTGTTTATAGATTCCATTATGCTGCTATAACAAGTCGACTGCTTTTTGAAGAAAGGTGGAGATAGTTTTGGCAATTCCCAGTGCTGTTGTGGGCCAGACACAGCCCTGTCAGGAGCTGGCAGCTGGAGCCGTGTGTCCGTGACCACTGGCTGCTCTGTGGCATCGCTGTGCGTTGCTCTTGCCTAAAGAGCTTCTGCTCTGTTCTGCTAGTTTCATCAGCCCTGCTAATGAAAAGACCTTACTGTCTGAAGATATGAGGAAAGAACTTCAACGCCAGCAGTGGGAGGAAGAAGAAAGGGAAGCCCTAAAACGGCCCATGGGCCCCATACACTATGAAGACATCCGTGAAAATGGTATAATCATCTTGTAACTTAAAACTTTCTTTTCGTCTTGCACTAATGGTGAGCATAAAGTAGCAGCTCTTGCTTAGAAATAAAAGATTCTGCTTTCGAAGTGGAAAGTATCCCCTTTGCTCATTTGATAGTCTAAAGTAAAAAGTACTCATCTTGCAGATAACCCTCTTACAGAGGACCTGTCAACCCCACAGTGTGTTTCCCAGTAGAGGTGGCCTCTGCATCATTTTTGTTGCATATTACTCTGCATACAGAGTGAGAACTACTTGGAATTTTTTCCCCAACTCATGCCAAATATGACTGTTTTTCTGTGGGAGAAACTTTAAATTGAGTAATTTAGTGATGAGGAAAATCTAATCTTTTGGTTAATTTTGACTTATTTCAGAGGCTCGGCAGCTTGGCGTTGGATACTTCGCCTTTGCCCGAGATAAGGAGCTGAGAAACAAGCAAATGAAAACGTTAGAGATGCTGCGTGAACAGGTACGGGTTGAACGCAGAGTTGACGGGAAGGACTTGAGCGTTTCCTTCGCTGCTGGGCCAGAGTGCAGAAGGGAGCGTCTAGAGCGGGAAGCAGGCTCCCCAGAGCCCTCCTGGGTTCCGAGGTGATGGCCATACTGTTGTGGTGTTTCAGCGTTTAAGATCGTAGTGCTCAGAAGTAATCTGCTTGGCCTTGATGTTTCAAATACGGTATCTGTGGCCAGGGCAGGGAAATAGGAGCTCCCTTAAGGGATGAAGGAGTAGAACAGACTCAGTGGCTTTCTTGGATACTCAGCCTGGCGGCTGCTCTGTAGCATCAGCAAACGCCACAGGCTGCTGACATCTTCCTTCAGGAGAGCTCGGGGCACTTTCCTGGAGGTGGCTAGAACTCAGTCTGTTTTTAGAATAAAAATGATTTCTCTTAAACAAAAGTATTGTTCATTTGGCTTAAAGCAAATACTTTCCTAATGTTTTCTACTGTTCAGACAACAGATCAGAGAACAAAACGAGAAAACATAAAGGAGAAGCGAAAGGCTATTTTAGAAGCAAGACTTGCCAAACTCCGACAAAAAAAGATGAAAAAATCAAAAGAAGACGGACCAGAAGAACACCAAGGTATGTGGCCCCTTTTTCCAAACTTCAAGAGGACAAATTTTAGTTCACTGATGTCGCACTAGTTGAACTGGCGATAGGGAAATGAGCCACCGGCTGCATTTTCAGGCAAGCAGTGGGCCTCTGAGGGACCGCCAGGAGCAGTCTTCGTAACCAGTGCAGCGGGGGTGACCCTCTAAAGAGTGTGTCTAGGCCACCAGCCAGGACGGTATCAAGCAGGACATGGTGTGGCGGTGTCCAGCTCGGTGGGGCTGTTAGAGAAAAGGCGCCTTCAGACGCAGCGCAGTGCGCCATATGCGTGAGGCGTACTGTTTCGTGGCTTCAGGCCTCTTATATGGCAGCTAACAGTGCGCATATTCACAGGTCAGATAACAAAGTGAAGAATTAGAGCGTGAGTGTAGGCAGCTTCCCAAGACTGGCCCAGGAGGTGCTGGGTTGGCGCTTGGCGCCACTGTCCTTTGGAAGCGCTGGCACCGTGTGGGCACACTAGCCTGGCGGAGCTTGTCCGGGCTGAGCTGCCAGGACAAGGTAGAAGTCCATTTCTGTGTGTGCACCTCAGGTGGGGAGGTGGCAGGGCGGGTGTCACTCTGCCTGGATGGCCACCGGGCCTGGCTCCTCCTGTCTGGCTGTTTCTGCCCCTCCTAGTCGTTACTCTTACCTGCTCGGTCATCGTCCAGCCCAGAGGGACAGAGGAAAGGGGAGGGAGCCAGCTGCTTTTTAGGGTGTGAGTTGGAAGCACGAACAGCTTCTGTGTGTACATTCCACTGGCCAGAACTTGGTCCTCAGGCCGTCCGGACAGCAGGGAGACTGGAGAGTGGCCTTCAGTACCCCGCTGCCCCTGGGTAGGGACGACACTGTTCCCAAAAGGAAGAGGGGGCTGTGGCGTCAGGTGTACTGAGGCCCCCCAGCTCTCTCAGAACACTTGTGCCAAGTCGTGGGCCTTTGTCTAGTTGTAAACGAGACTTCAGTCTGGTGGAAGGAAGCCAGACACATTCAGTAACTGGCAGGTCTGCCTGGTTTTGTGTAAATGCTCCCCTGGTACCGTGTTAGACTCCACATGTTTCTCTTTTTGCTCTACTCCTAAACATCAGCCATTTTCACAAGATGTGAAGGGCCTCCACACTGTTCTTTAAAAATGTCATTTTCTTTTAAAATACGCCGAAGTTGAGTAGCCTCAGCCTGTCGCCAGGCTCCAGCTCCTTCTCATCCTGACTCCCATGCTATCCCCGAGACTCTTACTGTAGTTGAGCACTTGGAGGTTTCTGGGCCATGTGATTGCCGGTCGGGGGAAGCGGGGTGACAGTGGAAAACCTGGAGGCTTTGAAACCCATCCAAGGATGCCAGGAAGGACCCTGGCTTTTGTTACTTTCCACCTGTGTACCATTTCTGAGCCTAATTTTCCTCATAAGATGGGGGTGAGGTGGGAATGCCAGTGTGACTTATTAGGTTTGTTATAGGTTTTTTTTTTTTTAAGATTTATTTAATTATACATGCAAGAACTGGGGTACAGGCCAGAGGTGTGGGGTTGAGAGGTGCCACCAGAGACCGAGTGGAAACAGAACAGGCAGATGCACTGAAAGACACTGCTGAGGGGAGCAGCGGGCAAGTCAGGAGAGGTCTGCTGTGCCACGTGGGTCACCTCCTGGCCGGGGATCAAACTCATGTTGCAAAGGCTTCGGACAGCTTCGCAGTGCTGCGCGTTAACCTGCTGCATCACCAGGGAGGGCCTGTTACAGGAATAACATACTCCAGGTGCTTCGGCCACTGCTGGGACGTGCTAGAGGCTCAGTCAGACAGGCCGTTACTTGCTCTTAGGCTCAGTATCTGTTTCACGTTTACGTTTAGTACCTGTGAGCACACTAATGAAGCCTTTCTCCCTTTCACAAAGGAGATGCAGGTGTTCTTGGGCCGTTGCCACCAGAACCAGCGTCTGTGCCTGCTCCACCTGCTGCTGCCCAGAGTAGCAAAGTAGAAGTCATCATTCAGGAGAGGAAGGACACCAGGCCTGGAGTGCCGCACGTCCGGGAGTGGGACAGAGGAAAAGGTAAGGGCTGCGCTGCGAGCCGTCAGGCTTCCTGTGGAGCCCCGGATTGTCTGGTGCGATTCTGCGGCATCTCTGTGTCGTTTGCTGCTGAAGGAATTCTCCAGGCCCTTGAACTTCTTTTTGAAACAGCTCTTTGTAAACAGAGGTCAAAGTGTGATGACCAAAGACCAGGATCTAGGAGCTTCCTGACAACAGGCTTTCTCAGAAACACTTGGGGGAAGTTTCCTGAAGTCATGCAGCTGTGGTCTCGCTGCTCTTGGATGCTGTGCTAGACCTAGTTCCTGGGTTTTGAAAATTTGGTACACTGTTCTGTGTTTTTATCACTTTCTTTTGTGTGCAGTTAAAAACAGTCTGCACATTGGGAATTTAACTTCTGTTGAGTTATGCAAGTTTCCTGTCAGCCTTTCTGTGGCCTCTCTGGGAAGAAGGCTCTGGCTTTTGTCTCCTTGAAAGAGATCGTTTTACAGCACTCAGCTCACGCAGTTCAGACAGGGAAGAGGCACGCAAGCACAAGGCGGCGGTAGCCAAGGCCGCGAGCGGGCGCGTCTGAGCACAGAGGTGAAGTGCTCTGCGGAGGCTGGGTGTGGGCTGGGCCGTCCAGAGGGCAGTGGAAGGCAAAACTTATGTTTTGCTGTGACGTTCTGACAAGATCTCACCGAGCAAATGATTTGAGTATTAGGCTTTTCCTGCCTTTACTTTCAGGTGTAATTTTAGTGCCTTTTGGCAGTGTCTGCACATCAGTATTTTCCACAGAGCCGCCATCTAGAGGTGGTCACTTCTAGTCTGACCTGGTTTCCTAGACTTTCTGTGGCTGTTACATGTAGTATAGCTTTGTGTTGCTGTCCTGGCCCTCCACAGAACTAGAGGTAACTTTTAAGAAATACATAAATAATTAAAAAGTAATAATAGACTATTTTGTAATCAGTACTAATAACACTCTTTCTCATTTTCACTAGAATTTTCCTTTGGATACTGGTCAAAGAGGCAGTCGGATCTCCGGGATGAGAGAGATCCTGAGTTCGCCCCACCATCGGATTACTTCATGGGCCAAAAGAAAACGAGTTCTTTCAGTAACCAGACCTGGAGCAGACCAGGACCTGCACTGAGCGATCCGGGGCAGCCCTCTGGCCAGAGCCCGGACACCAGCTCTGCACCGTCCACTCCTGCCCCCAGCAGCCCACCACAAGCCCCCCCAGTCACTTTTGAAACTCTGGATGATATGATATCATATTATAAACAAGTGACATGAACTTCAAAAACACCTTGACTTGGGTCCTGTTGTTGATCCTTCCTTTCCCACAGCAGAGAAGAGAACTTTCAGGGCTCAGGGTTTCTTTCTCCTCCTGTGCTTTCTCTAGAGGGCCTAGATGCAGGTGGCATTTGTCCTCAGGGAAGAAAGTGAGCGGTACTGTGAGAGGTCTGGCCACTGGCTGTTACTTTCTTTCTAATTGGTATGGAGATGTTTATTTGGATTCATACATAAGCTGTATAGAAAAACTGCATAACATCAGATGCTGAGAAGCTTATAACCACCTCTGTTCCTGCTTGCTCTCACAGCGCTCTCAGATTTAAAGGATTCCCTGTCGCTCTTTTGCATACTCTGACATGTAGATGTCTTTATTTGCAGGAGCAAGCTTCCAGGTCAGTTACAGGAGTAACGGGAGGGGCTTTTGCCTGTCAAACATGGTAAATGACGGGGCCCTCAATGGGAGAGAAAGTGACCTGCTCCAGCAGAACCCTGAAGCTGCTGGACTACTAAGTAGTAACTTCTGGCATATAAGAAAGAGAGGGAGAATTTAATAATCTGGAAGGTAGAAACTGAAGTCACTTTCACTGTCATCCACCCTAAGTGAAATTACTGCCTGTGCACAGCGGGCGTTCAGGAGGCGTATGCTGAGTAACGGCGCACCTGGGGTGGTCACCTGACCTGGTCAGAGGCCACAGTGCTGCTCTTCAGCAACAGGAGAGCTCGTCCGCTCAGCCTGGCTGCCCTCATTCTCAGCTTAGTCACCTCGGCCTCCTGACCTGGCATACGTGAGGAGCAGGTGTCATGAACAGAGCTCCAGAAAGACTTCCTGTGCCTGGGTCCTGTCCCCCCCTCAGCCTGCCACCACTCTCATTCCTCTGTACAGCTGCAGATGCACAGTAGTCTCCCCCTGACCAGCAGGGTTGGTTTCTGAGGCTGCCTGTCAGGCCAGTAAGAACTACGCAGAGCAGGGCGACCCAGCTCCTCCCTCCTCCTGGGCTCGCAGCGCGGCCTCTCCCCATGGCGGGCAGGGTTGGGAGTGCCCCTGCTGGCTGGCAGAGGCTATAGCCAGAGCGGAGAGAAGCTTTAATGATCTGTCTCAGGTCAGGTGCAACTCGTGTCTGCCCCAGACTCGCGCTTTCTCCAGCTCTCTGCTTTGGTCTTGTTGCCTTATTGCCAAGCAGCAGTGAACAAAACCCCCAAATTCTTGCAGACGTAATCTGCTAACTTCATATCAGAAGGCAGCGTTGCCAGTTCTAATAATGGTCATTATCAGAGTAAAATCACCTGACTTCAGTTGCACTTTTTTGCAGAAATGGACAGGCTGACTCTAAAAATGCATTTGGAATTGCAAGGCACCAGGAATGTCCAAAAGAATCTTGAAAGACTACAGGCGGAAGACTCATACTTGCTGACTTCAAGACTCACTATAGTGCTGCAGGATTTGAAACATGGTCCCGTTAGCAGGCTAGATACAGAGATCAGTGGACTAGAGCACATGGATACATCTATGGTCAGTAGATTTTCAGCCTTGGTAACAACCCACTCAATGGGGAAAGAATAGTCTCTTAGATGATTCTGGAACAGGTGACTGCCATGCTCAAAAAGGAATTTGGACCCTTCACTTCACCCCTAGAATCACAAAGCCCATTGAAACAACTTGTCGGACAAAGTTAGAGACAAAAATTTAGAGGAAAAGTTATTAGACTTGATAGAATCTGCAGGAGAAAGGGAAGGGACAGGAGGAGATGGGAAGTAGGGCTGAAGGACTTGAAAGGTTGACTGTGGAGAAGGGGCAGGAAGCCGGAGTAGGCAGCAGCGCCAGGAGTGGGCCCCCACGTCATGGACAGGCCGATAGCCAGCTTTGGGGGGGACCGGGCATGGCCAAGCAGTTTGCAGGCTGCATTACGAAGAAACCACGTTTTTCATAAGATTGCCAAGACTGTTATGTCTTTTTAATCCCCTCTTCATGGCACTCATGTAGGTCAGTGTCTCATCACCTCAGATACAACTTGGCTTTTGGGCCCAGCTTTTCAAGCGTTCATACGGGTGTTTCTCAAGACCGGTGTTAGACGAGTATGTCCAGCAGGTGGCGTCAGAGTTCCAGGCCAGAGTTCTTGGGCCAGTGGCACTAGCTACTGGATCATTCTCTAGGACACAGAAAAGTGAAATTAGCTTTAGGATATGCTCAGTCCAGTCTATCCAAAATATTTCAGTGTTTAATATTAATATAAAAATAAGATTTTGCCTTTCTTTTCACATAGAATCTTCAAAATCTGCTGTATCCACGTAGACCTCTCAATGTAGGAGCTACATTTTCATCAGGAATACTGGCTCTGTATTTAGATCTCATAAAATAGGCAGTTGAGAAGGTAGATTTGCATACCTACACTGTCCCAAACACACCTAGACATATTTGAAAGGTTGCCAATAGCTGCATCGAGTACCAGGGTTCAATTTAATAAATTACTATTAAATTAAAAAGCACGGCCTCAGTCACACCCCGTCTCAGATGCGCGAGACCTGTGCAGCTGCGCAGCACAGCACAGCTCTGGCCGACCTGTCGCCCTATGCGCTGTGCTGTGGCCGTCGTCCTCAGGTAGTGGCGGGAGGCGACGGTCCTTCCAGGCCACGTAACCATTCCAGATACTGGTCTGACTTTCACTCAAGCAAGGAATGGTGAAACCTGCAAGCAGCGAGCCACGCCTCACCCAGACCTTCCTCCAGCTCCAGCTCGCGACATGTTTTGGATCCAAGGAGCTTTGAGCTACTTGTTTTCACTATAACTCTTCATGACACTCATTTGAGATGGTTAAGTAAGTCGTCTGGCTTGCTTGCAACATTCCCTTAGGCGCAGCCTGGATCCGCAGCCTTGACCCACACCCGGGAGCTGCTGTGAGCGCGCCTTTGCCAGAGGGCAAGGCAGCCCGGGGCTACTTTTCAGCAACCTTGTGACATACAGATGAGGCGATAGAATTTAGAATGTGGAATGGGGCTGGGTACTGGTCTTTACCGTTACTAAGCACAGAGTCGTCACACCATATGTGTCTCGTTTCCCTTCCAGCCAGTAGTGTGAACTAGGTCAGTTGGAGGTCAAGCAGTTCATGTAAGACTGTGGCTGAGGTAAGTGAGGATAACTGATAGTTTGTTGAAATCATGAGCGAAAGGGAATGTGGTCCTCTCACCTGCCCTTGCAAGCTGGTCTGGTGGTGAGGTGTTTTGTTAGTGTGGAGGGTGGACATCCAGATTGCTGTGTGAAATGTGTATGAGATATTTCCATTTCAGGCACAGTGTGGTGCAGCTCATTGTTTCGGGGAAAGGGAGAGTCAAACTCACATGAGACGTGCCTGAGGAAACCCATCAACAGGTGTGGTCCAGCGAGGGGGTGGTCAGAAATGGCTTTGCACCCTCATCGCGAGCAGCTCTCTCCACTAGTGTCTGGTTAACACCGTGGCCGTCAGCGTTTTCTCCGGGGTGCGTTTTCTCTGTCTGTTGGGCCGCTGCCATATCAGGTCAGTAAGCTTCCTTGAGCCTGAAGAGCTGGAGACTCTTGGCCCTCACGCCCCTTGCCCCCAACCTGTCGTCCACGGTTGTCCAGGGTTGATGAAAACCAGACAACAGGAAAGGGCCCTGCCCCCGCACAGGCCTCAGGCCACCAGCGTGTGCTAGGACAGCACTGCAGGGCCTGTGCTGTCTCTCCGGAAGCAGCATCTTTACCTCAGAGAGAAGGACTTTATGTCTCTGCTTCCAGTTGTGCTCTGCATACATTTTCATGAGTTGTATAACTGCTGTGAACATACCTCTTGATGCACTTTTCTGTCTTTAACATTGCTGAAACAGCTCCACTGCCACTTAGCAGTTCGTTAGCGCCACGCACGGCCCATGCTTCCCCGCTTGTCAGCTGGCTGCATGGTTCATGGCTGGGAATAAAGTGCTAGAAAGCGTCCTTTTTTTGGTTTAACCAACGCAGATATTTATCCAAGTACCTTCCCTCCCCCCTTTTAAACTGTTCCCTTGGGTGTTACTTTCAGACATGAGATCACTGCGTCAAAGGCATGATCATTTTTTTTGTCTCTTGACGGGCCTTGCCAAGAGACCTGCCTTAATTAGGGTCCTTGATGCCGTAGTAAGGCCCTGAGGGGGTGCAGGTGGTTAGCAAGTGTTTCCACTCCAGGCCAAGTGGTGACCCTGAGATTCCAGTGTCACGTGTAAACCCCAGCAGGCCGCAGGGGCTTAGTTTGAGACACAGCCCCATCTCACTCCAGACAGGAAGCGTGAGAAGGGCCGTGGGCAAAGAGGAAGTGTCCTCTTCAGGATCGCGTTCTGCTCTTCCAGAAAGATTTGTCAGGGCCCCACCCAAGTTTCCACCTTCATCTCACAAGCCAGAATATAGCCACATGGTCACCTGGAGATGAATTTGGAAGAAATAAATACATGGTAATAGAGATTATCTGCGCATTTTACTAAGAAGGACCAACTTTAGATCTGAATAGACCTTTCTCTGAAGATGTATAAAGAGCACATGAAAACCAGTGTCATCGATCACTGGGGATGTGCAAGTCGAAAGCATAGTGAGCTAGCACTTCCCACCCTGGGGAGGCTCTAGAATCAAAAAGGCATGACAAGCGTGACAAAGGACGGAGAAATTAGAAATGTCACACATTGCTGGAGGACTGTACAGTGGCCCGGTCACTTTGAACCATCCTGGCAGTTCTTTACAATGGCCCACGTGGAGTCACCCAGACCAGCAGTTCTACGTCTGTGTATGTCCCCAAGGGGGTGAAAACATGGGTCCTCAGAACTGGTGCCTGGATGTTCCCCAAAGTGAAACAACAATGAACGGTAGGACAAACTGGTGTACCCACATGTGGAACGCTTCTCCACCGTAAATGGGGCACACATAAAAGCCACAGCATGGGTGAGCCTTAAAACATGCTGAGGGGAAGGGGCCAGTCACAGAGACCCCGAATTGTCTGACTTCATCTGTATGTAACATACGGAGCAGGGACATCTACAGGCGGAAACCAGCGGTGGCCTAAGAGCCGGGGCGGGGCGGAGAGCAGCCGCTGGCGGGTTTCTTCTGCGGTGATGAAGAGGCCCTAATCCAGAAGCGGCTGGCTGCACCACTCTGAATACAGGAACAACCATCACAGATTGCTTAAAGGGCGAGCTGTGTGCATGTGAGTTAGAACTCGGTAGAGCTGTTTTTAAGAACTGGCTTATCTCCGAACCTTGTAAGGCACGTCTTTGTAATTAACCTTAAAAGGAAGGAACTGATACGGGGTGGGGTGTGGGGAGAAGTTCCTCAAACCAGTTAACATTTCAAGAATTGTATTCTTCATCTTCCCTTCATTTGAGCTCTGGCTTAAAAAAAAAAAAAAACCTGCCCTGCTCTCGGGGTCAGCTCCCTCTGGCTGGTTGCCCAGAGACCAAGGTTCTGAAGAAGTGGCTTCTTTGTTCAGTAGATACATCACTCCAGAAATGAACTTATTTTTCCCAGTAGCCAGAGCTGGGAGGAATAGAGAGGCCGGGGGTCAGCAAATCGGCATTGGAAGCCACTTTATCTGCAGCCAGCAGGATGTGAGAGGGCTTTGCTCTGTGGGACTCCGCTTCCTGCGCGAAGTCGTCGCCATCTGGCACAGGTAGCCCCAAGGCTGTGGCGCAGGTGTGTTGTGTTTGGAGAGGTCTCTGCCAGGAATCCGCCCGCAAGCAGGCAGCACCTCACCAGCTCTGTCTCAGCCTCCCAGTCGTCGTCAGTGACATGGAGAGAAGCCTCACCCGAGCGCATACGCACAGACCTGCTGCCGGTGGGCAAGGGCGTGGGCCTGCAGTGTGAACAGGGTTGCGTAGGGGTGCCGTCTGGTGGGGAGAGGCTGTTGGCGTGGGAGCTCATAGCTCCGTGTCTGGGAGACTGCAGCAACAGTGCTGTCAGAGGTGCCAGCCAGCAGCCTCTGCCCCAAAGGCTGTCGTGAAGCCAGACAGTGGGTGGGCTTCTTGGCACTGCTCGGGAACCTCACTGCTGTAGGGTCTTAGGCTTTACAGGGCTCATATGGGCACAAAGCCCCTCAGGCATTAAGGGAAATCAGCATGAGCTCAAGGGGTGACTTTACACTTTCATAAATGTACTTTGGGATTGATGTATTATTGAGGAATGTCCTGATGAGGTTCATTTTGATCAGATAAATAAAGCTTTCATATCAGAGTACAAAAACCCTAGGAGCATATTTTTCTTTTTCTTCTTTCTTTTACTATTTTTGTGTTCATAAAATTGTTCTTCACAATTGGTCTCTGCAACCAGTGGTTTAAATTAAGAATTAAGAATTTTTGGTATAAAGAATATAAATGAAATAGAAATAAAGCATGATATAAAAGAGCAATTAAACCAAGAACTTATTTTTAGAAAGGATAAACAAAATTTATAAAAACCCATAGCTGGATTTACTAAGAAGAGAAAACATTAAAAGAATAAGAAGTGGGGAAAATAAAGAAGTGAAGGAGGCGAAACATTCAGCAGGAAAAGAAAAGATCGTAAGAGAATACAAAGGACAGCTGTTTGCAAATAAGCTGTACAGCCTGAAAGGGTCAATTTTTAGAGTTGTGCAAACCTAAGACTGAACCAGGAGGAAATAGACAATTTGAACAGACCAATCACATGCACAGAAACCAAGAGTAAACAGAAGTCTCCATAGCACAAAAGCCTAGAATCAGATGGTTTCACTAGTGAATTCTATCAAATGTTGAAAGATCTCAAGACCCACCCTTCTCAAGCTTCTTTAAAAAAAAAGTGAAGAGGGGAGAAAGCCCCTAAACACATTTTATAAGACCACCATTACTTGATCCCCAAACCAAGACAGCACTCACACACAAACTAGACCCATCTGTCTGATGAATGTCTGTGCAGAAATCCTCAACAAAATCTTGACACTTTGAGTCTAGCTACGTATTCAAGAGACTCATTCATCATGAGCAAGCAGGAGTCATTCCAGGATGCAAAGCTGGTTGATCGGTAAATCGGTCAGTGTCACTTCCCAGCTCCTGCTCTCCGGGCTTCCCTGACTCTGCATGTTGAATAACTCCGTGCCCACCTGGCATTGCAACCGGGACCTCCCCATCGCTGTCCTGCAGGGACCAGCTCTTGTTTTTTGAAGGTTTTTATAAATAGACATCAAGCAGATTCCTACCCTCAGAATTACAAGGCAGCTGGGCCCCCACCCTTTCCCATCCTTTCCCTCCTCCGCCCCCAGGGCCTGGCCCTGAGTGCTCGGCAGAAAAAGAAAAGATCAGATTGTTAAGAGAATACAGAGGACAGTTGGACTCATTCCTAGAGCCTGGGCCTCCCCAGGGCCTCCGCAGACTGCCCGGCCAGGCCAGTCTGGGCTGCCTGCTGGTGCACCTGGGAGCGAAAGGGCACCCTTTGCCCTGCTGCAGGGAGAGTGACTGACTCTCTCCTCTTCCCCAGGTAGGACCTGCCCACGCCATCCCCTCAATGACCCGAAGAGCCGGTTCAGCACTTCTGCCTCAGACCTCACCACAGTGAAGAACTTCACTCTCCTCCACCTCTCGGGGCGCTGACTCCTGACGGCGGAAGTCCCTGTTGTCCACGATGGACAGCATCACCTAGCGGCATGCGTGTCCCAGCGATATGACGGACCTCAAGAGCAACCGAGAACTGTACCAGCAGTACACGGCCACCGCCCCCAAGCTGCTGGCCCACATCTCCAAGCTGCTCATCGTCTGCCGCAATGCCGGCGTTTCCGTCCCAAAGGGCATCCGGAACATCTTTGAGCTCACGTGGGAGGAGCTCATCACCGACCCCATGGTGCCCACAGCCTCCAGCATCACGGGCCTGGAGATCAGCCTCGGAGCCCCGCCGGTGGTGCTGGTGGAGGCCGCCCCACCCCCGGCCCCCCCACAGAAGAAGGCGCCCCCCACCGCGCCAGCCGCGCCCCCGCCGCCCGCGGTGTCCACTCCGCCAGCCAAGTTCCCCGCCGCCCCCCACAGCCACCAGGTGTCCCCTGGCCAGGAGACCCTGCGCCGGTTCCAGCAGCAGTCCATCCACCTGCTGACGGAGCTCCTCACCCTGAAGATGAAGGCCATGCTGGAGTCCGTGTGTGGTGAGCCTGGCCGGCAGCGTCCTCTCCCCGGGGCTGGGCAGGATGCCACCAGAGGACCACAGTCCTCCCCACCCCCAGGAAGCCGCCTTTCACCCACTGTTCCCCACATTTTCCTCCCATCCCCTCAACTTTGCTGAGCCCAGATGGGAAAGCGGGCTGTGGAGAGGGGGTGCCAGGTCAGAGGCGCCAGGGGTGGGGCTTCCGGAAATGATGCTGAGGGGGGAGAAGCAGCCCTGGGGGAGGGGTGACGGTGCCAGTTGAGTGGGCTGACCAGGGTAGCGAGACAGTGTCCCGCAGGGCCAACCAGGGGGTGTTGTGAGAACGGGGGTCCGTCCACAGGAGGGGCGTCATCCCGAGTTCAAAGTCAGGCCCTAGAAACCCATCAGTAAGATGAAGGGGCTGGATCAAAAAAAAACAAAAACAACCAACAGCCCCAGCAGCAGCCGTGGGTGGGGGCGAGCAAGGAAGCAGGTGAAAGCGCCAAGTGCGGCCTGCCAGGTCTTGAGCGGAGCCCCTTTGAGGGAGCCCCTCACCCCTGGGAGCCCCTTTGAGGAGCCCCTCACCCCTGCAACAGCTCTCCTCTGAACCCTCTGGCCCGCCGTGGCGGTCCTTCTCTGAGGCACTTGGCCCACGCGGGGGACCATGAGTCGCCTGGGATGATCCTCTTCCTAGGTGCCAACCCCAGGGACGTCACCCGGCGCTTCGTGGAGGCCAGCCAGCTGCTCCACCTCAACGCCAAGGAGATGGCTTTCGACTACCTCATCAGTGCAGCCGGGAAAGACAGCCACGACGTTGGAAAGCTGTGGAAAGGTGAGTCCCCGAGCCTCAGCCCTCAGGGGTGAGTTCAGACCACACCCCCAAGACTGCGGTGGAAAGGGCCAGTCCCCCTTTCAACAGGTGAGGTGGAGAAACGGGGTACCCAAGCCCTGCGGGGGACGAGGGGGTGTAAATTGGTATGCTTCCTACAAAGAGCCATCTTGTGGCATTTGCAGGGTGAGGTGTCTCTCCCTTCCCACTCTGCCCCAGATGAGTGTTACTCTGAGCCCTGCCGGCCTGGCCGTGGCCATCGTGGGTTCGTGCTCACCTGAGGCCACGCTGTTTGGAGGGAGGCGGCAGTCTTGAGGGACTACGCCCTTCACCGTGGGTGGGGACACGCTCCTGGCAGATGGTGTCCGACACTTAGCTGAACCATAGGGCACTCGCTGTTATCAGAGAATCGCTTGGTGGGAGAGTGAGGAGCTGCGACCCCCAACCCTTCATAATGTGGAGCAGAGGAAGAGGGGGGGGGTAGCTGGTTGTAGAGGGCTGCCTTTGTGTGATACCACTTAAAGCTTGGAAGGATGCAAGGCAATGCGATGTTATTGTTTTCTTTAAAGATTTATTTATTTCTGCAAACAGAACTGGGACACAGACCAGAGGTGCAGGGGTGTGAGAGGGTTCACCAGAGACGGAGTGGGGAGCAGGACAGGCAGAGCGATGAAGCTCACAGCCGGGGGGGGGGGGCGGGTCAGGAGAGGTCTGCCGCGCCCTGTGGGTATCTTCTGTGGCCGGAGATCAAACTCACAGTGAGGTGGCTGCAGTGAGCTTCATGGGGCTGCGCTTTGCCGTTGCACCACCAGGGAGGGCCCAGCAGGGCTACGCTGTCACGGGAAGTGCATTCAGTGCACACACGCAGCCGTGAGAAGAGGAAGGGCAGACGCAGGCTGGGTGAGCGAGTCTGGGGAGCGCAGGTGTGGGGAGGCATGATTCCCGGGGGGGCCACGTGACTGAGGTGGCGTGAACGCCATCAGCCGCTGAGGAGGAAGGGTCTCAGCTACATGTTTCTGTGGAGGAAGGCTGACGCGGGTGTTGAAGGGCCAAACATAAAAATCACTAAAGCCCTGGGATATTTTTGCAAAAGGCAAACCTGCAAAACAAGCAAACAAAGTGTGTTGTTGGCTCTTGTACACCGTTCAGGAGAGAGGAAATCACACCACCTGGACACTCATCGACACGTGGTTTCATTTCTTGGAAGAATGAACACGTGCTTATAGTAGCCACAGACACAAGATTTGTTAAACACTCGATGCAGGTTGTTTTGCTAAGTTTTGCTTCCTTTTCGAAGCTAAAATTGCAAACACTCCCAGCTCCCCACTGTTACACAAGGGAGCTTCCCTCTGAAGCGGCTGCTCTGCGGCTCCACTGCTCGGGGCCACCCACTGTTGACTGCGGTGACCGCAAGGGCCGCAGCTGTGGGGGAAGGGCTGGTGGTGGCAGCCCGGCAGGACAGGGCGCGTGGCACTGGCCCGGGACCCAGGCTCGCTGGGGACGCTCGGCCCTCCGGGGTCGCGGCTCCTCTTGGGGGAGACTCTGCAGAGAGCTGAGCTGACTCGCCGTGATTTCGGGGTCCTGTGAGGCAGCAGCAGAGCTCTGAGGAAGCCGCCTCGGCATGGCCTTCCGGCCCCGCGGAAATCTTGCCCTCTCTGACACTCCTGTTTTAGACGCGGATTGCTTTAAACAAGGTTAGTAGAAGAAAAAATCTAAATGACGACTATAAACGAAGGTGTCAGCATTTCTTTTGGAAAACCATTCATCCTAGAAAGACTTGCCTTCGGGTCGCCTCCCCAGGCCGCTCAAAAGAAGATTCCGGCTCGACTTTCTGCATGCACTTTGCTTTTCTGGACCACTGGACAGCGAGGGGCCACTGCTGCCCCGAGTCTGGAGGGGCTTCCCTCAGCGTGGTGACCACATACCCTTGCGAAGCTGGTATCTCCATCACCCTTAGGCGGCTGCCTGCCAGGGCCTGCGGGGCCGCGCCCAGGGCCCACGCGCAGCGCAACCTGCCTGTCAGTCTGTGGCAGTGTCACTCAGTCACACATGGCAGCGGCACAAGTGGCCTGCCCGCTCCCCCTAACGCTCCTTGGCACTTAGCAGTTTCCTTGTGGCCTCCCTGTCATGCACACGCTCTGCATGTGTGTACACACGCAGACACATGCGTACACACTTATGTATTTACATGAAGATCACTGCAGCTTTTGTTTCTCAGTTTACTTAACGATGTTCTCCAACACGGCTTTCTACTTTTGACGGTCACCATCTCGAGGGGTGCCGACTCCCGAAGTGCATGGTCCATCATTAACTGGACGCCGAGTGTCTGTCATTTGGTAGAACGTGCTTTGTCATCTGCAACTTTGTGCTTCTCATGCTTACTTGTAGCATTGCTTATTAAGATTAATTTTCCTAGAGAAGGGCTGTTGGGGTGGAGGATCGCAATGTTTCCAGCTCTTGCTAAACAGTGTTCTCCATGTAGACTTTCCTCCGCCTCAGCGGGGCTGGCGGGTTTGCGTCCATCTTTGTCAGCCTGGGCTGTTGGTAGTTTTCCTCATTTCTGCTAAGTTTACGATATTGAAAGTTGTTCTAATTTCAGCATTTGGATCACGAGTGAAGGTATGCGTGCGTGTTTGCATCATCAATGACTAGTTTCTGTTCTTGTTTTTGTCTGCTTTCGAGGTCAGGCTTACCATTTTCCATCACCGTGGATTGTGGTAACAGAATCCCTTACTGATTCCTAACAATGCTTTCATGCCTGCCCACTCAAATGACCCTGTTGGGGGAAGAATAAACAAACAATTTAGTGAGAATAATCACAATTTTCCACTAGCAGTTGGAGAGACTTTTAATTCTTAAGTGGTCAGATATCAAATGATTTTGCACAAGACAGTGTGAGCGTGCATGAGACTGATCTGCTGTTGAAGAGCTGATTTCCATGGCCGGATAAGGAGAAATAGGCGGCTTTCAATCTCCCCTCACCTGTCCCGAGTTCCTTTCTCTCGGCCTAGTGCACCAGTCCTGTTTCCGCCCTCACATCTGCCTTCCTTGCTGGCTTGTCCAGTGTCACTTCACTCTTGAGAGTTATGAGAGGCAGACGAGCTACAGAAAGGAGCCTTAAAGCTTTCCCTTAAGTACTCTGAACACACTTGTGGATTTAAAAGTCTTTCCCCCGGGATCTGGTTGTTTAGAATAGATGGTGTACTACTAGAACAAACAGTCCACGCTAATGTTTCTGGTTAAAATTTTTTTAATTAAAAAATTGAAAGACGTAGCCCTCTCTCTTCCGTTCCAGAGTCCCTCATGAACATGTCAGCCATAGGGGTGAACTCACCCTACCAGCTAGTCTACGAGTCCACTACCAGTTGCCTGAGCTTTTCCCTCTCAACCACAAAGGAAGTCAAGAAGAAATCAGGTAACCCTGGCCGCAGGCTGTCTTTGGTGGTGGGAGTGGGGCCACAAGTGTCCCTATGCAGCTTGATGGGGTGGTTTGCTGGAGTCTCCTGGGGAAGCTCTGTGGCTTTCCCACTGGAGACCCAGCAGCTGCAGACAGTCTTTCCCATAGAAGCTGACGCAGCCACTGCGCGGTGCGGGCTCCCCTGGGTGTTCCTGTGCCTTCCCTCCCTGCTGATGTGGCACCCTTCACTGAGAGGATTTCCCAACGCTTCTCCCTCCCCCCAGTATCCCAATGTGCGCACATGGGCCCGAGAGAGATTTGTGTTTCCCTGATGGACGGCAGTGGGGGAGCCGGAGTCCGAGCATGGGCGTTCGGCTGCCACACGGAGCCGTATTTCCCGCCGGCTAGTTCCCGAGGGCAGCAGACAAGGACAGAGGACTTATTCTTGTTTTATACCATAGAAGCAAAGGCTAAGGGAAAGAACGGGACAAGTGAGCCCAAGCAACCCAGCAGTGACCAGGACGCAGGCCGCTTGAGGGGGAGCTGGACTGGGGCTGGCGGAGGCAGAGAAGGCGAGTGGAATGTCCTGGAGCCTCAGGGCTGTCGGGGCAGAGGGCGGAGAACAGGTGATGGAGAGGACTGGCCCCAGGGGTGATGGGAGGATGGACATCAGATGGGACCACTCAGTCACACAGTCCGATGAGTCCTTCAGACCTGAAGTCAGGTTACAAGTCGAGACGCTTCGATTTTATTCCTGACCCTGCTCTCGACCAGCTGTGTGACTTGCTTTCTCCCAGCCCTCACCCTCCTCATCTCTGATCTGCACCTACCTTTAGTCA